GTGTGTGTCGTACGGAAAATATATATAATTTTTCAAAATAGTCCCTCTTTTTGCTCTTAAATCTTTCTTCCTGTTTCTGCTCTACCTACATCATCACCATCATCATCATCATCATCATCATCATCATAATCATCATCATCATCATCATCATCATCATCATCATCATCATCATCATCATCATCATCATCATCATCATCATTACCGTCACCAACACCATCACCATCGCATTGTTAGTATGGAAATTAAATTTTAAAAAGTATATGGAAACTTTGTATTTCTGAAATGTTATGTCATTTTATTACTGTAGATTAAGTTAATCAGAAAATGTCTTCGACGTTTCGCCCTTTTGGCTTTCATCGGGATCTTGATTTTTTTTCTAAACGGGTCATCCCCTACAACACCACAACCATCACCACTTTCATCATCATCATCATCGTCATCATCATCATCATCATCACCATCATCATCCCAAACCACCACCATCATCTGATATACATCTCATCATCATCATCATCATCATCATCATCATCATCATCATCATCATCATCATCATCATCATCATCATCATCATCATCCCCCTAAGCCACCACCCTGATCATCATCTCACCATCATCTTCTTCATCATCATCATCATCATCATCATCATCATCACCATCCTCCTCCTAATCATCATCATCATCATCGTCATCACCACCACCACCACCCCCAACCACCACCAACCACCCCAAAATTAAATCGGGCCATCCTCATCCATACGTTTGACAGAGGGTCCCAGCGGATGCTTGAAGGGGCAGGCAATCCACTGTACGGTGACGCTGTAGGGGACGGCAGGGTAGGCTCCCTGGACCACCAGGTTGAACCCGCCATAGGTCACCTCCTCCACATTGACCTGAACACACATAATTCAAAGTAGAGTTGTTTTAGTCTCCACATTTACACTTACATATACCACATTGACCTACCTCAGTGATACAACTAATAAATAAATAAATAAATAAGTAAGTAAACAAATGAACAAACAAATAATTGAATAAAATATTATATATATATATATATATACTTTAGCTTAGTGGTATCATGCTGGACTATGGAGCGGATGGCCCCGGTTCGTATCCCAGACTAGTCGTTCTTGAACTCGAGTTATTTTGTGGACTTTTCAAGGATTTCACTCGTTTGGGCTCGGTCCTTTCGGGGGCAGACGTTAAATCGGAGGTCACACCTTTTAAATAATCTTAACGTGTTGATAAAGGCGTTAACTTATATACATTTACTATTTTACACTCTCTCTCACCCAGACATGCG